CCAGCACGGGCCGGATCGGGGCCGGGGGTGAAGGGTGGTTGGGGGATGTGCAGGGCGGGGTGAACGGCCACAGATGGAGGTCTGGGTTGGGTCAGGTGGACGTGCGATGGGTGGTTCCGGGACAGATGGACAAACGGACAGGCGACCGTCTAGGGTGGATGGAGGGACGGACGCGTGGAGAGCTGGACGAGGGATGGCTGGGCAGGCGGACAGAGGGGGGCTGGTGGGATGGACAGACGGACGGGTGATGGCCTAGGGTGGAGGAAGAGATGGACGGCCGGGGGGACGGACGGACGTGTGGCTGGAGGGGGCCCCTTAGGGCCGGACACACCCACAGACAGCTGCTGCGAGGCCGGATGGACGGCGGACAGGCGGGGGGGCGGGTTGGGGTACACGCACGGACAGGTGATGGCTCAGGACGGGTGGGCGGCAGCCGGAGAGGTTGGGCGCGGACGCTCGGACAGCCAGGACGGGTGTAGACGGGCAGACGGACGAGTCGGGCGGGGGCGGATGACCGGAGGGGTCGGGGGAGCAGTGGAGGCAGGCAGCAGGCGGGGGCAGCCCCCGGGGCAGATGCTACAGATGTGCAGGGCACCGACAGCGCACATGGGCACCGCACGCGTGTGCACATGTGTGTGCACTTGTGCCTCGTCTCGAGCCATGTGCAAAGGGCAGGCACACGCGTGTGCTGTGAGGCCGGTGGGTCTGCGTGGGGGCTGCTCACACAGCTGGTATGTGTGTACACGCCCTGGGCACCATGTGTGTATGTGTGCACGTGTCCTGAATGCCTAGGTTCTGTGTGTGTGTCTCTCTTGTGTGCCTGTGTCCCAGACACTTGGTGTGTGCGTGTGTCCCAGATGCCTTGCTTCTGTGTGTTTGCATTTGTGTGTGTGGCTCTGTACGTGTTTGTGTCCCTGTGTCCCAAATGTCTGGGTTGTGTGGGTCTCTCTGTCATGAAACTTGGGTCCTCTCTGTGCATGTGTGAGTGTGTGTGTGTGTGTCCCAGACATCTTGCATCTGTGTGCTTGTGTGTGTTGTATGTGTAACTGCATGTGTCTGTGTCCAGGATGCCTGGGTCGTGTGTGTGTGTGCCCCTGCCCCGGACGCTGGGTTCCATCCGGGCTCCCCCCCCCGGGTTAACCCTTGCGCTGCCGGCGCACAACTGGGGGCTAGAGGGGGAAGGGGCGGGGCCTCTGGCGTTTCCTGGCAACCGCCCCAGGGGCACGTGCCCTCGGCGGAGTCTCCCCCTCCGCCTGACCCCGGGCTCTGACCCTGCTGGGGGGG